ATACTCAAAGCAGAATATAAATCTTAGGAGATCCTATTGAGAATCTCCTTTTAGAGAGATTGAATGGAATATCCTAAGGCAACAAAATATTCTTAGGAAGACCTTATGGCTCGTACAGTAGAAAGATAGGAAGAGAGTTTCAATTATGTCAGTTTGTCAACTTCAGTACATGAAGCTGGCTTCTGTCATATTATTTATCTCTAAGAAGATTTTAAATAGCAAAAACAATTTGAGAATCGTGTGTTCTATATTATGTGCTAATTGAGGCTTTGAAAACCTGAGTTCACTTAATGAAAGCACTTTGGTTATATTGGGTATATGACTGTATTCATCCATGTGTCTATTCAGCATCAAACTCATTTAAGAAAACAAACCATAGTAGAAAGCTTGCAAGCTCCTTGATGGTTGGATGATGAAGTTTCTTGTTCTTTCAGACCTTTACATTTCTCTTTTTAAAAGAAAAGAAAAAATACATGATGATAAATGGAAAGAATTAAGTAACCTATGTAAAAGTACTTGTAATTGCCTTTAAATTAGAATAAGCCTTCAATTAAGTATTAGTCTCCCTTCTTTTTCAGTACCTGAAATTCCACTGATGTTTACCAAGTTTTAATCGCAAAGCCAATTCTTACTCTGCAGAGAAGGAACGTGTGTGGCACCGGCTTTGGTGGTGCTTCTTGTTTTCAGTGTCCTCTGGTTTTTCACAGAATATCAAGTATAGCTTGTTGTCTTGTTTTATTGAAAAACCAAGTAAAGTGACTTACTCAAAAATTTAAATGGGAATGTTAAGGATTTGCCTGTTTGTTAAAGAAAGAAATCCCTAAGACTTGAGTTCTCAAGATAGTCCCAAAGAGCAGTCCACGGGCCTTTTCATTTAACTCAGCAAGGGTCTTCCCATCCCTGGCAACCAGTGCATATTCTGTTAAACACGTTAAAATGTTATTTGTAAATGTAGGAGTCAAGGGAACACTTGAAGTTTCACTGAAAAATCAATTCACAAAATGAAGATTAGTAGGAAAGAAGGTATACATATTTTTTTTAACATGCACAGCATAAGGAAATCATAGGAGAATGATTACTCAGTAACCCAGTGGAATACAGATGATTACATACCTTTCTTAGGGGAAAGAGAGACATAAAAGTGTGGATGATTTTAGCAGTATAGTGAATGACTTTTAGGGGAATTCAGTGGGCTTGAAGAACATGCAGTGACCTGGGGCAAAGTCTGTTGGGCCCAGAGCAAAGTGGTTTGTGACAAAAGTCTGTTCAGATGTGTTGACAGACAGACATCAGTCTTTCTTTCTTCAATATGACTTTAGTTAATGGAAATTCAGAAGGGATCAGAGGTCATTGTTTTTTCCTTTGGCAGGTCCATTGGTCATTGTTTTCTCCTTTGGCAGGTCCAGACTTTAAGCAGATAGGAAACTGCAGAGAACAACTTTATCCCATGCTTTGGGAGAGACAGAGGGCTGAGAGACAGAGTTTTGGGTCGGGAAGGTTGGAGAGATCTTGAGGTTTCTTCTTCAGTACAGCATGTCAAAGTGCTATATTTTAGGGTATTGGTTCTCAGCTCCAGCATGAAGCATCTGGTTTCCCAATGGTTTTTTTTGTTTCTTTGTTTGTTTTGTTTTGTTTTTTGTTTTTTGAGTTGGAGTCT